ACGTACGTCAATGTGCTTTTTGAACTTGAGCTCCTTGGTCATCCACGACGGGTCCTTGGCATCGTGGCCATCGTCGTCGTCTGCGTCGCTGCCTTCCTCAAACACTTGGCCATGGTACACTTGGGACTCGTCGGCACGGGCTGGTGTCTGCGCCGTTTTTTTTGTTTCCAACACCTTGGTCAGAGTCTCTTTAAACGATTCGAGCCGCGCGAGCGTCTGCTTTTGGCGGTCCGCCGTCGACGACCGTTTGGTCGCGAGGTATTTTTGCCGACGCAGCTGCAGCGGCGTCAGCATTTCTTGGAACGCTTTTTCCGCTTCGGCAGCTTTGAGCTTGTCGCCCTTGAGCATGGCGGCGGCTTTGTGGGTCTTCTTCAGCTCTTCTCTCAGCAGCGTGTACTCATCCCTATAACGTGGCAATCACGTCCCGCCAGCAATGCGACATACTTTTTGGACGCTTTCTTGGACGCTTTTTTTAGCTTTTTCTTCGTGGCTTCGTCGGCATCGCCATCGTCCAACTGGTCCGCCTAGACGCATTCCCAGCCGCTCAATCCATTGCCACAACGATTCAAAAACGAGTGGCTGGAAGGCATCGGGCGACGTACGGTGGCAGCGTCGTCGTCGAGCACTTTGGGCTTTGCCGTCGTGTGTACGTAGGCAGATTTCTTTTTCAACTTGTCGGAAATGCGCGCCTTCAAAGTACTCAGCGACCCCGCGTCGACGTCGGCTGCATCGTCGCTGCCGCCGTCGTCGTCGTCTTTGGGCCGGTCAACGCGCGCGGCTGGCACCGACGCTACTTTTGTCTGAAGATTCTCGTCTACACGTTGGCTGAGTTTCGGATCGCGCAGCACGTCGTGGCTGCTCAAGCTGCCTATCCGCCACGATTAATGGTTGCCTCGTACGACAGGCGGCGCATCGACAGCTCGCGTTGGTCGCGAAGCACCAGCGCAGTACCGAGCCATGGAGACACCCCATCGAGAAAATTCACCCATGCAAGTGTACAAGGAAGATGGCGTCGAGAGATCACAGTTACATTGTCAGTGCGCGACTTCACACAACATTGAGCATGCAGAAAAATTCCACGAAGATGGCACAAGCATGGTGGACTGGCGGCGCATGGGGGAAGGCAGTACCTTTGGCTTTCTTCACAGGCTGTTGGACGAATTCATCGTCGGCCTCGTCGCCAAACGAGAGGAGTTTTAGATCCTTGGTGCCTTGCCGCCGTTTTTTCTTTTCTGCCGCTGCCGTGCTTGCTTTTGCACTGGGCGCGGCTTTGATCGACCTATCCAGCGAACGGTCATCTGCCATGAAAACATCCCATTCCGCAAAGGTTTCTACCGCGGCACGATGTCCTCGAACGGATTCCACAAAATTTCAATGGTCAGGAGCTTGATCGGTTCGATGGGGCGCTCGTCCCCGGACGTTTCCATGTCGTTGACGGTGAGCAGGTTGAAGATCGTGTTGCCAGTGACCTTGCCGAAGATCGTGTGCTTCTTCGTGAGAAAGTCGCATGCGTCCAGGGTGAAGAAGAATTGACTCCTGTTCGTGTTTGGTTTGTTCGAATTCGCCATCGCGAGGAGTCCGCGGTGGTTGAACCGAAGCCGCGAGTGAAACTCGTCTGGAAACGGCTCGCCAAACGCCGACTCGCCACCATCGCCCGTGCCCGTGGGGTCACCGCCTTGGATCATGAACCCTGATATCAGTCGGTGGAACAACGTGTTGTCGTAGTACTACAGCCATGCACCGTCACGACAACGACCAATGCGGTCGAGCGTACCTTTTCCATCGCGAGTTGAAAGAAGTTGCGGCACGCACGAGGTGCTTGCTGCGGCCAGAACTCAACGTCGAGGTCGCCAAACGTCGTGCGCATCAGCACCTTGCCCTCTGTGTTGGGCTCCGTCACGTAGATGTTGGACATGGCACCGGACCGTCGATCGGCACTCCTTT